AATCAAGAAACCGTATTATTTACTATAGGTCCTTATTATGGTAACATAAATTGACTTCCTTAAGAAGAACCCAGTAAAGGGTTATATACTGTACGGGCTACTATACGGGTTACGATAAGCATGTTGAAGTTTAGGGCCCAAGGGTTAAGTGTTTAGGGTTTGGGTTCGGGGTTGTCAAGGTGTCTATAGGGTGTGGGCTTCTGGATTCAAGGTCTGGGGTCTCGGGATATGCAGTTATGCTGCCTAACATCTGCCTCCACCAGATAGAAAGGACACCAAAGAGTCAGACGTGCGGAACGCTGCCGCAACTAAGAGCTACTTACTGTCGGCTGGAAGTTCGATCAAGACAGAACAATTTACAATAACTTCACACTCCCAAACCCTAAACCCTGAACCTTACAGCACTAGACCCTAAAGCCCTAAACCCTCAATACAAGGGCTTCCTTAAAAATAGATAAAGTATACTATACCCCAAAGCCCCAGTCTACTTATACAAGTGTTGAGGCCCACATACTAACGCCCCACGATGGAATCAAGGCCAGTGCTTGCGCTAACCAAGAGCATCGGCAGCTGCTCCTGCAGAAAATCCGGCGTCTGCTGACACGAAGGAGTCCAGGACTTGGCGCTTTTCAGTCTTTCGAGTTTTGCGGTTTTGGGTCTACCCATAGGCCCTTTTTGGGACTACCTTCTAGGATTCTAAATATGAACCCCAAAAAGGAACTACTATGGGGCCGATGGGTAGAGTGTAGGAACTAGGTCTCTGCCGGGTTCTGAAGGGTTGAGGGTTGGACAGCTGGCGCTGGGATAAAACGCTTTGCTCGTGCGAAGGTCCTATTCAAAAGACAGATTTCTTGAACTGTTGATGAACGCATGGAGTACGTCGCATTGATGAAGAGAGACGATCCAGTTCAAGCTTAGTGTCTGGCCAAGTAGTTTACATTTCTTTTGGCCTGATAAACCGAGCCGGCTCTACTAATTTGGGGTCTCTTGCATTCGCCATGAAAGTCGAATCCACTCCTCACCTGCCCCTTCCTGAAAGCTCTCTGTCTTGCATACGACGGCGCCGCGCCTGCTGCGAGGCGGCACGCACCTCTGCCATTCGGAGGGACAAAGATTTGGGCTCAGGGCCTAGGTTGGGGCAAAAGGGCTGAAGGGATTTCAAGAAGTGCCTCCCTGCTCCCTGGAAGAGAGAGTCTCGACTGTCAAGGCCTGTTTGGGAGAAATGGTGCAGTACCAGTATTAGTATCATTATTAAATTCAATATCAATTGGATTTCAGCCTCAAGCCTAGTGCCAAAAGTCCGAAGACTACGACTCTTCGAGGGACGCTTCGGGAGAGGTGCACTCGACCCTCGAAACCAACCTGGGTCAAGCTTGCCGCTTCGTTGCAAACCTGGGGATCTGAAACACTGGCCTTTCTGAAATCCTCGAACCCTACAGCCCCAAAAGGCCCACACCCCAAAAGTCCCAAAGCCCAAACCCCGAACCAAACACTGTCTGCTCCGCACATCTTTGACAAAGCTACCCTAAAATGCCCTAAAAACCCTAAAGCCCCAAACCACAGGCCTAAAACCCCCAGAAGTCGGAACCCGAAACCACCCTAAACTCAAGGTTTAAATCGCCATACTTAACCCAACCCTGACACCCTAAGCCCCAAACCCTGAACCCTAAGCCCCAAAGCCTAAACCCTACGCCGCAAACCCTAAACCCCAAGCCCCTAAATCCCAAGCCGCAAACCCTGAAGCCCAAGCCCCAAACCCTCATGGGGACCCCAGCTCCCTAAATCCTAAACCCTGAACCCTAAACCCTAAACTCTAAACCCTGAGCCCTAAACCCTAAACCCTAAACCCTAAACCCTAAATCCTAAATCCTAACCTAAAGCCTAAACCCTAAATCCTAAACCCTAAATCCTAAATCCTAACCTAAACCCTAAACCCTAAACCCTAAATCCTAAAC